TCCCCGGCCTGGAGCTGGGTCTCGGGGACCCTCTCCCCGGCCTGGAGCTGGGTCTCGGGGACCCTCTCCCCGGCCTGGAGCTGGGTCTCGGGGACCCTCTCCCCGGGGCAGAGGCGGCCTCGGTGTCATCACAGTTGAAACTGGGATTCAATGTTGCCTTGGTTGAGGGGTGAGAGAGCGGGCGGTGGCCAAGGCTTGTTGGGAACAAAACGGAGAGGAACGGGGCCAGTGAAGAACACTAAGTTTTCATAGATAAGTCCGGGAAGAGAAGAGGGACAGTTATGCAGATGTTGGTGTTCTAAATTAAAATCAAGACCTTACATTTTTCATTACTATTGGCTGCTGCTGTCACTGAAGTCGTGCTTTTTCTGCAGCCTGGGCTGCTGGTTGCCACTCTCTGTACCATTCTCTCCCCATGCTTGGCACCATTGTTTATGCAGCAATGGGGTGAAGTGGCACAGAGCATTACCCACAGATTCAGTGACCTTATAAACACTTTCTGATTAACCTAGTTAGTGATCACGTCTGTTTCTCTGCACTACCATAGGACAGTTTGTACTGGCTCAAGGAAACGTGTGATGTGGAGGGAAAGAGTTTATTTTTGTCCTACATAAATGAGTAGGTATGTATACAAATTTATTTTTTTTAATGCATAAACATAGGCAGAGACAGACCTGTGTAAAGGGGTTGTGCAACTGTGATGTTGAGCATTCTGGCTCGTGTGTTTAACGGAGGGAGTGCCATTGATAAAGCAGTTGTGGGGGAGGTTTACAAGTGCAAGAGGTGACAGTCTGAGGAGCCTTAGCCAGTAAAGGTGAGTGAGATTGCAAGAGTAGTTCTTGCTGCACCAGGGGAATGAAATTAGAAGCCAGAGAAGAGGGGACAGGGTGTGAGAGTACTGCATGGAAACAAGAGTGAGATTTTTAGTCATGTGTTCAGCCATCTCATTTCACCTTCTCTTAGGCTAGGAAACTTTATTCTCAAAACAGATAAGGCTAGAGGCTGGGATTCCTGAGTATCTGTTTTCTTGGAATTAGCAAATAACAAGAAATCCCTTGGTGAAACATCCATTTCTCACACAAGTTCATCCAGAAATTTGTCCAACTAATATATTAGCTCAAAACAGCAAAGCATTGCTGGTTATAATGCAGGTGTTGAGATTATAACTTGGTGACATCAATTTTGTTTCATTAGAAGTTGGTAGTTACACACAGTCACAGTAACTATACTAATAGTGTCATCTCCGGAATGACTCAAAAATGGAGACCTGAAGTTCTTAAGTTAGCTTTAATTCAGTCTCTTTGTACATCTAGGTTGAATTACACTTTTCTGTTAAGTAATAACATATAGTTTATTGCGTAAAAAATCCTGTTATACTCAAGGTATTAAAGAGATGAAGTATTTTGGTCTCATCCTCATTGATTTGGTTGTGTGACGTCGAGACATTTTCTGAATGTGACTCAAATCTGCATCAAATTCTGCTTTGACTGGAATTGCAAATCTCCCTATGTCTTCTGTTGTACTTATCACCTTAGTATCTCAGTACTTGACAAATTCTCCCCTTAACTGACAAAACTCTTCTAAGACAAGGAAATCATCCTCCCATTCCACATGAAGAATGAAAGACAAAATTATGGAGACCAAATTTGGTCCAGGTAGGATCTGATCTTTTTCAGGGTATTGAGTTCAGTGTCCTGGCTTATATTAAGTAAACGGGTGCAAATAAATTTTAATATCTGGTCTAAGCTTATGCTGCTTTTGCAGATCAAGAACCCAGATTTTGGGAGAGGCATCCCTAAAAAAGATGTATGTAGTTGGTACCCACCTCAAAACAGCATTTTTAGGTAATTTATCTAGAGTCATGAACACATTCTCTGGCAAAACCAGGATAAAATATACTTCAGGACACTGCTAACTTATTTTAGAATACAGTATTGTGAACATTTTTGTTTTCTCTGTCATTTTAAACAGCTTTTCCCGTGATTGTCTTGTCCATCATTTTGTTCTGCCTACCTCTGTGACCTCCCTCAATTGTGATAGTGTAACCATTTCCATATTCATCTGATGAGGCAGATCACAGAATTAATCAGGTTGAAAAAAACCTTATCTGACTTACTTTTACTCTTTCCTGGCTCTTAGAAGCACTTGGATGAGCAGAGGACAAGAGAGGTGGTTGATACCCCTTATCCCAAGTGTGAGTACTGGGAAAAACCTAAGCCATTTTGCGCTTCCACTTCCATTATTGCAGTAAATCTTCTGTGCTTCATTTCTTCCCATTTACTCAGCAGATGACACCAGATTTTCTATAGGCAAGACTTTTAAATTTTTTGGCATATCCTGTTAACAGCTTTTGCTTTCAGTTTCTCAACTCAATCCTGAACTTTGCTGCTGGTTTTCATCCTTCTCCTTCATGAATTCCCATCAGCTGTGTTTCCAGGATGCTGCCTTTCTCTGGCTGGTGTTTCTTTAATGGTTGATTTGCTTCAGCCTCCAAAGACAATCTGATTTCTTCCCCCACCCTTGCTTCCTTTCCTCTTCCACATTATAAACAAAAGCACTTGCATTATGCAGTAGAGAACCTTACAGAGCTGGCAGGGGAGTGGACTGAATGACCTCATGTCTGGCCTCTGTTCTCCTGCCAGCTATTTTTGAGTTCAGATGTTGGTAACTATTTGACCTTTTAAAATCTAATCTGACAATACCCAGCCCTTTCCTTGTTTACTTTTGTTTGGTTTACTGATTCTTGTTAAACAAAATTTGATGTGCATTTGTGAGGTGTGAAATACACTTAACCCATTCTTTCCTTGCCAGCACTTTTGATGGTACTGATTATCAAGTAATCTGTGTTTTAATCAAGGTTGCTGAATACCATTATTAAAATAGCTACATTTCAATATGAAGCCTGTTTTCATACTGGAAATTAAAGAAATTACATCCTAACCACCTAAAATCAGATAATGGATTTTGGCTTGCTTAGCAAACATATTTGTTGAGAGATGTTTTATATGTATTTCAGGCTATCGCTTATAATTAGTTAGATAAGCATTGTGTAAAATATCTTTAATTTTTGATAAAAATTAGGCATCTGTTCAGAAATAAATATGTAAAATCAGACAAGAAATATATTTGCACAGCCCAATATATTGGAGCTAGCATCCAGGGCTGAGATTCCTGAACAGTATAGTAGCACAAGTGCTGCCTGTTTTCAAACCAACAATGCTGCTTTGTGTAAATATTTTTTTTGAAACTAAGTATCTTGACATGGGGGAGAGACAGATTACTGTGCAATTGCATCTTGAAAGATCTTTGAGATTCCTTGCCTTTAACACATTGCACTGTGTTGTGTACCTGCTCAGTGGGGTGTTTCATATAAAGTGTTGAATCGGCCTCCTCATGTCACTTTTGAAAGGACTTTTGAAAATTGTCATCTTCTGTTCTAAGGTAACACACTCAACATATTTCCAGTTTTTCATTTAGTAGTCAGTCTGTACCAATATGATTACTCCCAAAAGTGGTCAAATTAAGTGATGCTAAAATCCAGAGAGACCATGTGAAGTGTAGGATTGGAGTAGTTTATTGTAGATTAAGCTTCTTAATCCTGGTGAAGTTCTCATTTTATTGCCTGAAACTGCAGAACATCTATTTTTTCCAGAACTGTAGGGTAGGTGAGATTTTTCTGTTTGTTGGTTTACACCAAGATGTTATACCCTTTTGTTGTAATTCTGGATGTTTCTGTTTTGCTGAGCTCTTTGTGTTCCTGTGGTGTAACAATGGATGCCATGGACCAGTTTCAAGACTCACTTTACAGCAATTCCTCATTAAAGTCCCTATCACTAAATTAACTGTTAACTACCTAAACTGCAATATTTATAATAATTAGCTGTATTTCTAAATGTTTCCTACTTGGCATTAAAGAATGACTCAAAGTGTGAATTTGTTTGCTCACTGGTGCGAGGCAGTTTATGGAATTCCCAGGAAAATTCATGAATGGTTGATTCATCAGACAGGTGAACTTTAGCACCTGGCTGGACCCCCAGGTTTATCAGTGAGCTGTTGACTGACCTTGTCTGTATTCTTCAGCTTTTATTTGCAGACTTTTACTCTTCGAACTATTTGCTCAATAAACCTGGGGGGAGAAGCAACTTTCTGGTTTAACTTTCAGTCCCTTGTTCATTCTCATGGCTACGGGGAAGGACTGAATGAGGTTTCAGCAGCAGGATTATCAGCTGAACCTCTTGCTGCTCTTCCTATAGATTTCTCCCGTGGCAGCTGAAGTTAGCACGGTCCCTGACATTCCATTGCAACACTGCTGAGCAGCTCTGAGCATCAGAAATGCAACAGACTCACTGTACTACTTTCTGTTTGTTACTGTTGGTTGTCAGAGCTGTGGACAGCAGCAAAATAAAGGCATGGCACACAGTGTGTGGCTGGGTAAGCAGCTTAACTGATCTAAGCTTCTCCTGCTGCCTGAAAACAGGAGTCCTTCCTTTTCCACTCCATCCTTGCCATGTTTTGTGTTTTGACTGCTTCCCTTGTGCTGGCACTAGCACTCTTAATGCTCTGCAGTCGACTGAACCAGGGAGCTGATTTGTTTTATTGCAAAACAAGCATCCTGACACACATGCACACAAAAAGCTTTTCACTGGGTGCTGCCAGCCAGAACTTGTACTGACTCAGTGGAGGGAGTCTGTGTGTCTGTGTGTGTGGGACCACCTTCTCAGACAGAGCTTTAGCTGGGATTGATCTGAGTGCTGACTCCAGAACCATCAGAGAAGCAGCAGGGTATCAGTGTGTTCCTCTACTGACGTCTTTGAAGAACAGCAGCAAACTTCTCAAGAAGGAAAGTACAAGGAAATCCCTCAAAAAGACCAACAACCCGGTGAACAGACCCTGGGGTCAAACTCAGAAAGAGAGAAGAAAGGTGAGCAAACTCTTCCTTCATGGAAAGGCCATTTAGGGTGAACTGTAAAGAAGTGCCCAACTACAGGTGCCAAAAGCTCATCTGTAGTTGTCTCAGATGGAAATATCAAAGCACTTTCACTGTGGCCATTCTTAGGAACCCTTGGCAAAAGTTTGGTCAAAGTTTTCATCTCAGTGTAAGAAAGAAATTTTTTTTACACTGAGATCAGTCATTCACTGGAACAACCTGCCCAGGAACATGGTGAAGTCCCAGTCACTGGAGGTTTCTAGGATGCAGTTGGACAAGGATGGTAGATAACCTCAACAGGGCTCCCTTTCCACAGAACATTGGACCAGACAAATCTTTTGAGCTTCCTTCCAACCTGGGCTGCACTGTGATTCTATGAAATTTTGTGTGTAAAGTGATCTACACCAGAAACACAAAAGGTGGAGATGCACAAGCTGACAGGCAGCATGTCTAGGATTTCTCCAATGACTTCTTCAGTGAACACACAAATGAATGAGTTGCCAGATCTAAAAAATAGCAGTGATGTATTTCTTCTTATTAGAAGACTCCTCCACGTTTTCTGTGTGGAGAGTTTCCATGTGTTCAGCTTTGTGGAGGTGTGGGGGAACACCCTTTAAATCTCCCAAGAATAAAGTGTTAGACATGTTAGATTTTGTAGAGAATCTGTCAGTTGTGAATGAAGTTTTCAAGAGCTAACTTTATTTTCATTCTGTATATGCTTTTGACACAATTAAGATAAATTATGTCTTTAAATAGTTGGTTGCACACACACAAATTTGACACACTAATTTGGCATATTAGTGTTAGGAACTTTAATATGTGTAAAATTTTTTTGTTCTAAGTCTTTTAAAACAGATTTCTAAAGCAAACATCCTCTGCATTGTTTTGTTACATATTTTTTTGTGCTTTACTCAGGCAGAATGGATATTGTACTGAATCACTTCATAAGGAGCAGAAGAGCAACAGTAGAATTGTTGTTTTAGTTTTGGGAGCTGCACTTGTGTTTTCACAGTGCTGAAAAGCATGGAAAACTCTTTTTATAAGTATGACCTGATACTGGTAGTTCTGTGACTGTTGGAACTCATGCAGCTTTGTTTTGTATGGATTTATGCTGTGTGATTGATCAGCTCTGACTTAGATCTTTACTGGGACATTTATTTCTTCATAAATGGCAGTTTGAATTAGATGTTAAGGCATCTTCCAGTCTTCTCTTGAGCTACGATGTTCAGAATGCCTCCATCCTCTAGACCAGTGTGCTTTCTTTAGGAAAACTTCCATGAATTTAAGGTTTTCTGCTGTTCTGTAGTAATTGATTGGAAAGGGCCAATGAGTAAAGTTGTTGGACTAGAGGACAACACAAAGCTGTTATTACTGAATGCAAACAATCATGAAATAGAAAAACTGTGTTAACACCCTTTGAAAAGAAATGCTGTTGATGTTTTCAGTTTTTGCATTTTTAGTAATTCTTACAGAATTACACCCATTTAAAATAAAAATTCATCCTTGACTTCAGTCTTATGAAACCAAATGTAATCTATGTTTTAGAGGCTGCAAGGTAGCTAAAGAGGGATGCAGAACTAGCTCCCTGAGTGGTTAGTTTTGGTGGCAGATAAAGTCTGGAAAGTTCACATTTCCTTTCTGCTGCTGTTCTAGAGAGGAAGGGGTAGAGGAGGAGAGGTTGGTGGGAGAGAGGCAAATCTCTGGTGCAGAGCACAGAACTGCATCAGCCCATCAAAGGGCTGATCCTCAGTAAAGAGTGGGTATCTGTGGCAGGAAAGAGGTAAAATTCCTTGACTCCTGTTCAAGGCTGAAGCCAAAACACCATATGTTTGAGCTGGAGTATTTTGTGTGTAGGTTTGTTCCAATCCTACTCAGAAAAAATGAAGTGCAATGTGTGTATAATGTGTGTGTCTTAATGTATTTGGAAATCCAGGTAAAGTTGATGTGAGGGGTAATGGGTGTGGGTGTTGAGAGAGGGAAATAATGGTATTTAAAACATTTTTTCTGTGTTTTGTAGGGCTATTTACCCTTCTGCTTTACTGCAGCTCTTCTTTGGATTCTAGTGGTGTACAACTTTAGTGCATTCTCTTTATGCAATTTGCCAGTGTGACAGAAAATTTAATAAAATCTGCAAAGGAGCTGTGCCTCATTATCTTTTCCCTAGTTACCATATAATTCAATAAGATGAAAAATGTGTTTATGACTCTTTCATAACTTCTATGCAATTTGATTTTTGGTTGACTGGAAAATCCCATTAAAACATGCTC